GAAGTTATTAATAGTTACTTATAATATTTTAAATAAATCTTTTATTGTTAGAGAGTGTGTGTACTTACCAGAGAGAGTGTTTTTTCTATTCAGGTAATTACTAATATATTACCTACAAATAATGGAAGGTTTTTTTTTAAAGAATTATTTTATTTAACTTTATTTATGTACTTATTTTAATTTGATCAGAGAGGTACAGAGCAGGACACAGAGAGAGCAAGCTACCAGGTCTGGGACGCAAACTGCAATCAGCCATGTGGGCGTCCAGTGCCTTAATCATTATGCTACCTGCTGCCCAGATTTTTATTTTTCCTTGTAATTATTATATAATTTTTTCCTTTTTGTAATATTCACTATTATTAAACAGTAGAATTTTAATTCTGATTTCTTGTGGGTATAATACTTATTTTTGTTCTTTAGTTCTTTTTAAGGAAATTTTTGTTATCTTCTTCTATATATCATACACATACACTCTCCTTGATTTATTTATGATTTTGAGTTCTGTTTCTAGGAATTTTTCAAAGTAGATCTGTTTTATGAAGAAGTCTTCTGGGGCTTTTTCTGCTTCTAATTTTTTTTTCTTCATAATTAAATGACAGTTTGGTTGTATATAAAAAGTTAAAAAGCTTAAAGTTCTTTTTCTTTTAATATTTTAACAATATCCCTTAGTTATTATCTTATGTCCAATGTTGTTATTCAAAAACTTGATAATAATCTGCTTTTTAACTCTTTGTAAGTAATCTACCTCTTCTCTTTGAAAGCATTTATAATTTTTTTTTTTTGTCTCAGATGATCTTAAATTTCTCTATAAAGTGTCTCAGATGAGAGTGGGGGGTATAGAGAGGACAGGAAAAGGGGAGGTTAAGAGGGGAAGGTGCAAAATTCAAGGAGGCACTCCCTCCCAGGATCACACAAGTGCCTCCTCACTGCTGCAGCCTTGGGCCTCACTGTCTGATCTCACTCCTACCCCTGATACCCTTGCCATGTTCAATGAGGTCTTTACATTTGAAGTTTCTGGTCTTTCTTTAATTTGTGGATATTTATCATCATTATTTCTTCAAATATTTCCTTCTTTTATTTCCTCTGAATTCTGGTGTTTATAATTTTACTTTCCAAGTCTCTTGGCTTTTCGTTTAGTTATATATATTTGTATTCACTTTATATTTGTATTAATATTAATTATATTTTATAATTAATATTCTATTATTATATTTTATAATTATCCTGCCTTCTGGGAGAGCTTCTCATTCTGCTTTTCAGATTTATGAATCTTGTTATTTATCCCATCTTTTAAAAATTTCCACTGATTTTTTTTTATTTCTAACATTCTACATGATTCTTTTTTATTACCTCTTATCCTTACTTTATATTAATACCTTCTCCTACATCTTTGAGGGTTTTTTAAAAATTCTTGATATATTGGTTCTAATAAATTCTGCTTCACTCATTCTGCTTTTCAGATTTATGAATCTTGTTATTTATCCCATCTTTTAAAAATTTCCACTGATTTTTTTTTATTTCTAACATTCTACATGATTCTTTTTTATTACCTCTTATCCTTACTTTATATTAATACCTTCTCCTACATCTTTGAGGGTTTTTTAAAAATTCTTGATATATTGGTTCTAATAAATTCTGCTTCACATTTTATGTTTAATTTCTTTTTTCTTTCATGATGTCTGACTGGTTTATCAGAGGTCATGTTCCCCTAGGAGAACCAGCAGCCTTGCATGGGTGATGGCTGAATACCAGGATCTGGTCTGTGTGCTTCCTGGTAAACATAAGAAAGAAAATGAAGCCCAAGTTGGAGAGCTTCGGGCACCATAAAATTGATTTTCGTCTTTGCCATTTGCTGTCACTCTGCTCGGCTAGTCTTCTGGTCAGGAATACACTTCTTCCACACTTAAGCGTTTAATAGGAGGTGCTACTGAGAGAAGGCACTCTCTTAAAATTTAATCCACCAGCACTGACTGTTGGGGAACTGGAGAAAGAACAAATGCCCAAGGGGGCAGCACACACCCATTTTCATCAGCTCCTTTTCCTGGAGGGACTTCTGTGCTGTTCTGACGTTTCTCCACTGACAATGGGATGGCGAGGCAATTGCTTCCAGCTTCTGTGGAAGGAGCAAGCGGGGCCGCTGGAAGACAATGTAGAGGGGGAAGGTCAAGAGCAGATTTTAAAAAGCTCTTCCTCAACCTATTCTCAGCTGCTGACCTTCTAGCCCTTGCTGCCAGCAACCCTTCACACTAGTTCACTAGAGCCTTTGGCTTTTTCATAGCTTTTTGATAGTTCATCACATTCATGCTTTCTACCCTACAATCCCTTATTGTTAGGTTACAAAAGAGCTGGCCCTTTGCTAACTGTGAAGACCCTCCATAATCTGACTCTAGCATCCAAGAGACTTTGTAAACATTGTTCTTAATCCTCAGAAGTTTGAAAGCAAAGTATTTTATTTTCCTCAGTTTAGAAGGGAGAAATCTGACTTAATGAAGTTAAGCGATTTTTTTTCCGAAGTCACACAGCTAAGAAATGTGGTAGAGCCAGAATTGGAAAACATGTCTATCTTCTCCCAGACCCACACTTTGTATACTCCACTGATAACGCCTAAATGCAGCGTTGTTTCATTTTATCCTAGGACCATGGTATTTGTCAAAAAAAAAAAAAAAAAGGTGATACTCTCTAATTGGTGAAAAAAATGTATTATGGAAAGAATTCTCAGTGTCATAGTTTTTAAATTCTTGCCACCTACTTTCCTTTATGTGCTAATAAGTCCAAAAAAAAAAAAAGGTAATGAGTAAGTAGAATATGAGTTATGAGTAGCTGATAATGATTTGTACTCAAGAAAATGTTACCTGTTAACTATTTTTTTCCTGCTAACTGGGAAATGATTGCATCTTTTTATTATGTAATATATAATATTTGAAAATTCATTATTCCTGCAAGTAACATTAGTTTAGATAGTGTCTGAATAACAAACAGAATTCATGAATACTTAACTGCAAATTTACTAACCTATTTCCTTTTGTTTTCTCCCCAATTTTAAAGGTGTGATTTTTCTTTAAAGAATTACTTTTATTATCATTATTCTTCTTTAATTTGACCAGAGAGACAGAGAGAGAGGGGAGGTGAGAAAGTAAGCCATGGTGTATGGGACACAAACCGTGGTTGACTATGTGGGAGTTCAGCACCCTAACCACCATGCCATCTGCTTTCCTAAAGGTGTGATTTTAAAAAATCCATTAAATTGTATTTTATTTTTAATAAATAATATATGCATATGGTACAAAATTCAAATAGTACAAAAGGATCCACATAAAAAGTAAACCCACCTTTCTTCACTTCTATTCTCAGGCAGCCAGTTCACTCCCCCTACAGTAATACTAACTACTGTTAGTATTTTCTTGCATATAATCCCATAGCTATGCTAGGAGCACATTAAGTTCTTACGTGCACATCTTTTAAGAGAGAGAAATTAATTTTTCCCTTGACAGAATTTTAGCTCTTTAAACTTTGTTAATATTCAGTAACAGTACCGGAAATTGTTCTGCTTCCTTTTTTTTGTTTGTTTCAAGTTCATCCTTCTATGTCTTTCATGAGCAAGACAGAGACAGGTACCCTCGACAGGCTTTTTATGCCATGGTTCACACCCAGCCTCAGCCAGCACCTTGGGCATGCAGGTGTACCTGGCATGCACAGGGAGGTCCTAGGATGCAAACCTGGGATCTTCCAATGTGGGTCCAGTTGTCCTACTGCTGAGCTGCCATCTAGTCTGATGTGTGTGTGTGTGTGTGTGTGTATACACTACACACCCTCATACATACCATGCCTATACATATATTTATACATATACACAGAGATACGAGCATACATATGTTTACTGTTTGTTATTATTTATAGTTTCTCTCCTTCATTCTCCTCTCAGGATTTGAGAGAATGATCTCACCAGGACTCAAACAGCACTGTCATCCATGTGGGACCTGGTCTCCTTAACCTCCATGCCACCTGCTTGGCCCTGATTCTTTAACCATATCTGCTGAAAGTAAAATTGAGTTGTTCTTTTTTTTTTTTTTTTTTTTAAAGAGGTTTAGGGCACATGTGCTCACTGAAGCGAGACAGAGATAGCGAGAGGGAAATAAATCACTCCCTGGGAGGAGGATGGCCACACCGCAATCCCTTCTCCTCCAGTCTCCTCCCAGGATCTTAGGCATGCATGCACACACACCCAGCATAATTTTCAAGCCATCAAGTCCAGAACTCGAACTACAGTTGGCAGTGTGGTAGTCCAGTAACATAACTACTATGCCATCTGCTGGTCCCTCCACGAGTTTTTTAGTTATTTACAGTAAATATTTGTGGACTACAGAGACTAATAATGATTCTCTTTATACTCACCTCCCACATTGAAAAATTATTTAAAAGTGACTTTAAAGGTTCAATATACTGCCGATTTTTCGGAACCCGTCATTGGGTGAGTTGAAAAATAATTCTGTGTTTAATTACAACTCAGCAGTCACAGAGTCTTCTACTTCATCCCATTAGTGCTAGCTAGGCACGCTGTTAGCATGGGACTTCTAGACTGTCACCTTTGCCATGACTACAGAGTCCACAGACAATTTCTCATAGGTTTTGCAGTAGTAAAAATAAATAAATAAAATGACAAAAAAATTGTACTTATGATTTTCCTAAAACTTACTAGTATCTCGGTAACAGATTTTTAAAACCAATATATTTTTAATATTATCGTATTAATTTAATGTTAGTTTTTAACATTACTAATAATTACAGGTGAGACTAATTTGGTTGTTTTGATTCGGTTCCTTTTATGGAGAAAGGTGAGCCCGCTGTACATTATTTTGATGTAAGTAACCTCGCATACTTAAAGAATTTAGTTTTGTTAGCATTTTTTTGTAAAGCATGAATAAATATTATGAATATCGATATTTCTATATGCAAATCTAATTTTTGTCCTGACTTCACAAAATTTCTTTTATTTCTCTTAGTTCCACTTGTCTCTCCTGATGCAGCAGCAGAACTTCAGAACAATTTTATAGAACGCATTTCTTTTACACATCAATATGATGCCAGGAAAACACCTAATGAGCCCGTCCGGGGGAAGGTGAGACATTATTTAAAATTAATTATTATTATTATTATTATTATTATTATTATTATTATTGAGAAGTTTTCGCTATAGGGCGCATACGCTCGCCAGACAGACAGAGAGAGAGACATAGAGACAGAAAGCGAGAAATCGCCCCCAGGGGGGATGGTCACGCCACAATCCCTTCTCCTCCATTCTCCTCTCGGGATCTTGGGCACGCACGCACATGCGCCCGGCATGAGTTCTAAGCCACCGGGTCTGGGACGCGAACCACGGTCGACTATGTGGGAGTCCAGCGACATAGCCATTACGCTAACTGCTGGTTCCCTAGAATTATTTAATGCTTTTGGACAGAACAGATTTATGGTAGAACTTTAAGCTTTTTAAGTCATAACATCTTTCTAAAAGTCTATTTAAGCAAACAAACTTAGTTATTAGGATAGAATCTTAGCTATATACCATAGTAAAAAGAAAGAAATTATGTCATGATTTTTAATCAGTCTTTGGAATTTGGTTTATTGAAAATCATTTGCTTAATAGCTATACAGTTTGATAAACTTTTAAAAACACACTTTTCAAAGTTTACTTCTGTTTATGCATGGTAGAGCATGTGCGTGCCCACGAGAGAGGGTAGGAGAGAAGAGAGAAAACATCTTCCAGTGGCGTCTGGTCACACTGCGACCCTTTTCCTCTATTTCTCCAGCCTGTCAGGATCCAGCACTTGTACATATGGCCAGCTCATTCTCACCAGGACCAGATTTCGAACTGCAGTCAGTCATGTGGATCCATTCCTCTCTGCCATGCTTAACCACTGCACCATAGGGGCTGCCCTTGACAAACTTTTCGACAGGCTTAATGTATGTGTGTTGCAGGGAGATGCGTTTGCGTTTACAAAACCAAACAGAAATGTAAGAGTCAACTGTTGGATCTTTTCCAACTAAAGATGTTTGCTTTCATATTTCATTATAACTAAGCCTTTTGCTGGTGCGAGTAGACACTTGGGATGCAATCGTAAATCCTTGGGTCTATGAATTGTGGTTTTTATTGTATCCATAGCAACCTAGAGAGCAAGAAATGAAATTTGATATGAACAGCCTTACACAATCCAAATGATAGAAGAGTGGAGAAAGATGAGATACTTCTTTGACCCTCTGCTTTTTTCCTTTGTCATCTTCTGGTGCACCCTATTTTATTATTTTTAAAGGATCACCAATAATTACTATGGTGCTACTGTTAGCTTTGGATTAAGGTGACAGGCAATGAACAGGCAGAGAGATAAATACTTGAGTCACCAGGACTCCAGCGGACCCACAAACTTAGTTCACAACTACATCTTCCAGCAATTTGTGTTCCCCTGATTAATGTCAACTTTGTTTTCTTTTCCAGAGACATGGAACTTTTGTGCAGAGAGAGAGAAAGCCAGGGAGCAGGCCAATAGTTCCTAAGGGAACAGAAGTATTACTGAACGCTCCAGGGTCATGTTCATCAGAACAGTCCAAGAAAACAGAGAAAGGAAATTCCGTGGAAAGCAGAATGATCTCACCAGGTCTCTGCTGACAAAACCCCCCAGAGCTGTTAGAGACTAAAATGCATGTATCAGAAGAAGACCTCAGAGAGGCCACGGGGGCAATTCCTGAGAGGAGGGAGAAGACTATGGGCAGCTTTCAGGTGACTGTAGGAGATGCTCCTCTCACCAGGCATCAACCTTCCAACCCAACAATAAAAACAAACAAACAAACAAACAAAAAACATTTTCAAGAAAAAAAAACATAATCTCTGGAATCTAGAGAATTTTTTTTTAAGTTTAGCTATTTTTTTTTTTTCATGAGAGAATGAAAGCGAGAGTGACAAGCATCCATGCCAGAGCCTCACTGCACTGCAGTCCCCTCCCTCAACCTTTCCGCCAGCCATGATCATGGGTGATCACAGGTGCTGTCGGCACTGCGGGTGTTTAGGCTTATTTGGGTATTTGAATCTCAGTTGGCCATGTGACTCTAGCATTTCAGGGTGGCACACTCTGGCCTGTGCCACTGTGACTGGGCTGAATACAGAGATTTTATAGTCATCCTATAGGCCTTTGCATTTGCTTTCTTTGTTATAAGTAACCTGAGAACCTACAATTTATATAAATGGGAAAAAGAATTAAAAAACAAAATATGCCCAAATTATGAGTAGTTTCCAATGAGTGATGGATTATGAGACTATGAGATATTATTTCTATGTCAAATTATATCTAAACAAAAAACTCTATTTTGCACTAAATGAACATAATCAACAAACATAGGTGAGGCTCTATTAGACAGTCACCAATTACAACTCTGGAATCAAACAATTTAGGGTTGGGGTGTATACTTCATATGAGCTGTGTGACCTGGGGTGATTTACTTAATCTCTCTAGACTTCAATTCTCTCATCTGCAAAATCTGAAAAATAACAACTTTATAAGTTTACTGAGCATGAGATTAGGCACACTGACCAGTAAGTGGTCAATGTCATCATTACTATTTCTATAATTAAATTTCAACTTAAGGATAATGTTCTATAAATTTAAATTTTGCTCATTCTAAATTGTAGAACTCCTCTGTATACAATTAAGCATACAGAAATCTAAAAACATTTGTCAGTACAAGATAAACACACAAACACAATTCAAAGACATGGACACTTAAAATTAAAAATATTTCCTAATTGTTTTACCTGGTACTAACTACAAGCACTAACTCCACTTAACATTTTAGATGAGTTTGGTAAGGATTAATTCCACAAGCAATTCTAATTTGGTGGGTTTGGTGTGGCAGAATGTATCTACTTTTTAAGCTGCATTATATTGCGTATAAGTGGAGTATTCCTTTGCTGTAAAGAGTATTTAGAAATGTCTATGAGAATATATCAGTCACTCATATTATCTGTAATATTGATAAAAATGACAGCTATATTTGTATCCTTTTATTCTCTATTAAAGGCATTTTAATAGACTGCAAAAGAAGGAGTGCTATTATTACATATTTGTGTGTTGGGTATTTATGGTTGTTCATAACATGGCGATTAGGCTAATAATGAAAACTTTCCATTACAAACACCTTGAAATGCTGAATAAAATAGAACTAATATAAAGTCAAGCTCACACAACAGAAAAACCTTCATGTTCCAAAATAGGGACTTGCTTATTTGCATACAAATATATCTTAAAGATCTTTCCTTGTCAACACATGTAGACCACCTTATTATTTTAAGAGCTTCATAGTTTTCTATAGTATAGATGTACTGCTACATATTATAATTAGAGTAATAAGAATGCACACTGTACATTAGCATAGAGGGTTGTTAACAGATTTGGGAAAAGGTCTTAAAGGCTTAGGTCTTTTTTTTTTTTTCTTTACTCATGATAGCACACATGCAAGAGAAAGAGAGAAAGAGAGAGGGAGGGAGAGAGTAGGTCGGAGGGAGAGGGAGAGAGAGAGAGAGAGATGGGGGAGAGAAAGAGAGGGGGGAGGGAGAGAGAGAGAGAGAGAGAGAGAGAGACGCACCCTCCCCCAAGCTTGGTCATGTTGCAAAACCCCTCTTATCCTCCAGTCAACCACAATCCTGGGCAGGTGTGTGCATGCACCTGGCATGTTTTCAAACTGACCAGGCCAGGGACTCAAACTGCAGTCAGCATGTGATTTCCAACTCTGCAGTCTACACACTGATGACTATACTACAGAGTATAGGCAGGGTCTTGAATTTTCATCCATATTGGAACAGAGATGAAACTTAAGGGCATCCTAAGTAGAGAGAATTGAAACTACATAAAGCTAGAACTCTCAAATGGCTATCAGGTTATTGGAAAAAGTCATGATGTATTTTTCTGTTTTTTCTATACAAAAATGTGTCATGACTTTCTTGATGACCCAATAGCTTGCCAATGCAAGGCAAAACTCCACTCATATAACCAGGAAGATGGCAAGAAAGTCTGTCTTTGCCTGGAGCATAGATAGTGAATAAAGATTTTGTGGGAAAGCAAACCCCAAGCTTGGGCCATATTCTACTTTGGAATATGGATTTGCATGAAGGACTTCACATATGACCACAAAATTAGCATTAGAACTAATTCTGTTAGTGATATCTCTAAGGTGCCTGACACAAAAGCAAATGTAAAAAAATCCCAGGAAAAATATTTCTATGATCCACAGAAAAAACAATCAACTGTTAAAGATTGCAAGCAGTAATTACACATCACACAAAGAAGAAAACCAGACTGAGCATGAATACGTAGTATAAAGAATGGTTAGAACATCAAAATTGGACACAAAAGAACTGAAGCACTTTCAATTTGAAGATTGTCTTTTACTCTAGAAAATTTTATTATGTTACTTTTTGGTTATTTTTTTTTCTTCTGAAATTTTTTTTTATTAATTTACATTCATTCCCTGAGCATCATCACAACATTCTAAATGTGGTTTCCCATCTAGAATATACTGTGTAGTGGCTTAATAATGCATGTTATCATCCATAATATTCCATTTCTACTTTCATATATATGTTTTTTACCCCATGTCTAGCCCTCTGCCCTATTCCACTCTCTTATTACACTATCTCTGCTGTCTACCGTTGTCTTCAATCCCTTTTCCCCCAACATTTCGTTGATCACACAATATCATAAGTAATCTAACTACTTTCAATAGCAAGATCAGCCGATGGTTTCAAGAAAAGCAGTTTTGAACTGGTAAGGATATTTCTTTGAAACTTAAAGCCTAGAAACAGGTTAGTATTCTGTTCAAATAGTAGGAACATGAATCTATTGATAGCTGAAGACAGGACAAAAATCCTTAAAACCGGACAACAAAGCTTAGAAGAAAAGCAGCAATATTTTAGTCAAGTCATAGAATACTGTTTCATCAGTTCAGTCTCATGTACTTAATCTTTCTTCTGTATCTGTTGAGGTTCGATGTTCCAGATTGAAATCTGGGATATAATACTCAACTCCAGCTTTTGGCCCTACAATTAAGTTGCCCATTTTCTTAGTTTCTGAACTCTTATTTCTGTGTGTCTGCATTTAATTTTACTGACATAGCACTCCCTTAAGAACTTCTTGGAGATCCGGTCTGGTGCTGGTAAATTCTTTCAGGTTTTGTTTATCTGGGAAAGTTCGTGTCTTTTCTTCCCAAATGAACGATAACCTTGCTGGGTACAGAATTCTCGGTTGAAATTGCTTTTCCCTTAATACTTTGAATACATTTTCCCATTCTCTCCTCGCTCTCATTGTTTCCGATGAGAGGTCTGCCGTTAGTCTGATGGGATACCCTTTGTAGGTAACTTGCCTTTTTTCTCTTGCCAGTCTTAGTATCTTGTCTTTGTCTGTGGTTTTGGTCAATCTGGCTATAACGTGTCTTGGAGAAGATCTTCTTGGGTTGATTCTATTTGGGGTCCTCTGTATTTCTTGGGTCTGAATCTTTGAGTGCCTCTCCAGGTTTGGAAAATTTTCTTGTAAGATTTCATGGAATAGATTATCAATGCCCTTATGAGTCTCTTCACCTTCTGGGATGCCTATTATCCGGATGTTTGGACGTTTGATGGTATCTAGTACTTCTCGCATATTATTCTCAAATTTTTGGGCCTCAATTCCTTTCTCCTTCCTCTTCAGCAGTTCCTTGTCTCTCTTCTCTTCCATCTCTGTTAGCTTTGCCATTATGAATGTTCTGAATTCTTTATCAGACATTTCCATGATTTCCATTGAACTGTGTGTGGATAAAGAGGAGCTATCCTTTTCCCTTGTGGGAGAGGTATTTTCCTGCTTCCCCATATTTCTTGTGGTCCTGCAGCGATTTCTAGTCATCTGGTGGATGGTCGGTTTCTTCCCAAACTTGGAAGTTCAATCTGAGGGTCGAGGAGTGTGCAGAAAAGGAAGCAGAGAGAGGGAAACAATACCAACAACAGCAAAAAAACAGGCAAGAAACAGTGAAAAAGAAGAGAAGGACTTTTAAATAAATCTAAAAAGAAAAAATAATATTCAAAAAATTTCAATAAAACTCAAAAATTAGAAAAGCACGCCGCGCGAAATGGCTAGATCGCAGGAGCCATGGAGCTGTCTGTCTCTTGAAGAAGGGCTGTTCACACGAGTTTTGAATGCTGGAGGCCCAGTTATCAGTGGGACATCTTCCTTTCTCCCCAAATGGCTAGATCGCAGGAGCCATGGAGCTGTCTGTCTCTTGAAGAAGGGCTGTTCACACGAGTTTTGAATGCTGGAGGCCCAGTTATCAGTGGGACATCTTCCTTTCTCCCCAAATGGCTAGATCGCAGGAGCCATGGAGCTGTCTGTCTCTTGAAGAAGGGCTGTTCACACGAGTTTTGAATGCTGGAGGCCCAGTTATCAGTGGGACATCTTCCTTTCTCCCCAAATGGCTAGATCGCAGGAGCCATGGAGCTGTCTGTCTCTTGAAGAAGGGCTGTTCACACGAGTTTTGAATGCTGGAGGCCCAGTTATCAGTGGGACATCTTCCTTTCTCCCCAAATGGCTAGATCGCAGGAGCCATGGAGCTGTCTGTCTCTTGAAGAAGGGCTGTTCTGGGCTTTTGGTTATTTTTATCCCCTCCTATTTCTTCTCTCTTTCCGGAACAGTTACTAGTTGAATGTTGGAACACATGAATCTACTAACTTTTCTCTCATTATTTTTCTTACAGTACTTTATATTCTTGCATTAAGTAATGTAAGAATCCTTTTGACATTAATTTGATGCTAACTAAATTGTTTTTCAGGCATGCCCATTGGTATACCAGACTAC